TTGTGCAAACCCTCTGCACACAGTGGGTACCACAGTAACAGAAGAAAGCATCGTAGCTGAGCCTTTCAGCCCAGTATCCCATATATTAACCTAATACAACGCTGGGTTACTATTTTTGGCATCGATTCAGGAAAGCACTTAGATACATTCATCCCTATAAGCACCCTCCTGAAAAGCGATGCTTTTCTGAATGGAGGGATACAATGCAGCTGTATTATTTTCATCGCAGCCATAGCTCTGAGTTATCAGTGATACACTTTCGATGTTTAGCAGAATATTTAACCCAATGGTTTTGAAAATGGTTGCTCTCTTTGTGCAGTAAGCATGGTAACTTTTAAGTGCTAATTTTATTCCAGACAGAAATCAAAATGGTGTCTTCTACATACTTAGCCTGGACTGATAGAAGAATTTTTTTTCATGTATTTTTCACATTACACTTGCTAATAAGGCCACAGTTGTTAATTAAAAAAAAAAAAAAATTAAACAGCATAAACTGAGGTTGAACACACTGATCTAAAATATGTTCTTAGCCACTGCTAAACAATAGGTTATACAGGCAGGAGAGGGAGAGCTGATTACTTATGCTTACTATTACTTCACCCTTTGGAGCCACAATGACCTTAGTTTTTCTTAATCACCAGACTATTCAGCAGAGTGCAACCATCCTGAATATTTATCAACCTCTGAATCCAGCCAAGTCTCCACACACAGAAAAACCCAGATATCAACATGTTAGCAAGTGACCTCAGTTCCTCTGGAAAGAAGTTTAACACACTGTGTAACGTGTTCTTAGGGCTTTCTACCAAAAGTGGACATTTTAGTTTTTCTGTGGATGAAAAGCTGACTTGCTTACAAATCAGCCAGGTTAAGAACTTTATAAGATCATATTATAAATAGATGAATAAATAAATAGGTAGGTAGCACCGCAGTTTCTACTGGCCAAATTTCTCTGCACCGTACAGGCTTCTTTTCCTTTTTAAGGGGTAAGATAAACCCCAAATTAATGTGACCCCCCTGATGCCCATGAAGAGGTGCCATCTCAGTGCCTGCTTTTCCCTCCCCGTCAGAGCTGACAAACGTACTCTGCCACACTGGAACGGATGCATGCAGAGCTGGAATGACCCAAGATACTTCAGCCATCGAACACGAGCAAATCATCTTGTGAAAAGCCCCAAAAGCCTTTTGTATTTAAATTTTCATCTCTGAAGAATTTCAGAAAGCAGAAATGAAGAAGTTGGTACAGTCACATTTTGTTGCAAATGGTCTGAGGAATTAAATCTTCAGTAAAAAGAAACAGAAATGAGATAACACAGTTTTTTAATGTAACAGATAGTACTATTCCACTACCCAACCACACCGCAGATATGGAAATTGTGACATGAATGGGTTAGTCACACACAAATGTATGTAAGAAGCAAACAGCATGAAAAAGCCCCTACAATTGGATAATTTCTCAACAATTTTCTATGCTCTAAAGGTCGCTTTGAAAAATCCATGTGGCAACTGTCAGACGGACAAAAGCCTCTCTTTGTAATACTTCAGTTTCCCAGAATCACCCTCATTCCTTTTCCAAAAGGAATCACTGCTGTTATTGTGTAGGATTAACAACTGGACAGCAGAACAAGACAAAGCAGGAGGAAACCATCACAGCCAGTGAGACTCTGTGAAATGTCTCCATGCTTTCACTGTCAAACTGCTGGCTGCTTATTTTTATCTGAAAGCTCCCACAGTCACATGAAGATTTTTGAACCAAGTTGCTTATCAATTCTACCAGATTTTGAGTATACTACATTGGCACTTACAAGATTTCTGTAAGAGAGGGGTATTGGGCAAAACTGGGGAGAAACACATCAAAAAAAAGAGCACAAGGCTGTGAACTTGCCTTCACAAATCTAGTATTAACTCCAAATTTTATTTATTTTACAGATCATGATGTTTTACCAATGAATAAAAACAAGGAGGGTCTTTACAAACTGCCAGTCATGTCCCCCAGCCAGAAAAAAAAACAAAAACAACAAACCAATCAATTTGGCAATATAGTGAATGGTCAGCCATCTCCTGCTGCTGCTAAGTGATTTTTTTCCTTTTAAATATCTCAGATTAGTCGTAAATATAAGAGACAGACCATAAGGAATAGTTGAAGAAACGTGATAAATACTATGAATAACAAAGAGCGGAAATCATTACTTTCCCAGTTCCTTTACATGTTCCCTTAATGAAAGCAAACAAATTCCTATAATGACTGCATGAGGATGTAAAATAAACACCTTCCTTTTACAGTATCAACAGTAAATTAAACTAATAATTTAAAAAATCAGGCTAATCCACCAACGCACTGAAACACCCTTTGAATTCTAAGTGTATCAGAAGCTCCACTGGAGCCATCAAGACACGCACATGCAAAACACGAGCGCGTGTTCTCATGCTATACCAGGCTGGGTCTGCCTGGAACGGGGTATGGAAAGCAGATGGAAAAGGATGCAAGACAGACACAGTCAACTTCCGAAACTATTTCCATTAGATTTTTGTGCGTGGCCCCAAAATGGACCTCTGAAGAAAACCAGGAGCCTGCACTTTTCTCCTCTTGCTGTTGTGTAAGAACAATTATCAGCATTTTATTGACATCATCCTGTTTTGTACACATCTTCTTCAGGTCTAGATTCCACGGCACGCAGTTTCCAAACCAGACGGACAGAGGAATATGCATTTTCAGCGGCTGCACGTTTACAGCATGGCTCTACAAGACCACCTCACTGGGGTTTGGGCACGTGTTTCAGCGAGCTGCCCAAACCCCTGAAGTCTGTACGAATCACCGCCTTTTCTTTGAACTACTACCTGCAAAAGCCACTGCTGGAACTCCAGTCTCTGATCTTTTGAGGAACTAAGGGACACTCCAAACAGCAGCCCTGCCAAATCCAACACAAGCTTTCTGAGTTTAGAGCTAAATGGAGTCTGATCTGCTTCCACCTGGAAAAAAATAATTACAAATACATGGAGCTTAATCTGCTAGGATGAACTGATGTGATTTTGAGAAGCGGGAGGAGGTTACATTCTGTTGACAAGATAGAAGTCCAGCAGACCCACACCAAGGCAGCTTGCTGAGCAGGGTGGGAGCTGTTAAAGAGAAATGGAGCTGCAGGGGTATAGGAAAAACTGCTCTTTCCATGGGTTACAGCTCAAACCATCTGAAAGTATTTCAGAGAAGAGTAATGAACTGTATAAGTAGATACATGAATATGATGTTACTCAGAGCTACAACAGGAGAGCATATAAACACAAAGGATTATAGCCAAAAGAAGGGGACAGAAGGGTAATGAACAAGATAAAGATACTACAAAGGCCTAAACTATTTGTAAAATATAATGCTTTTCCTTCTTTTCTAACTAAAAAAAAAAAGGTTTATGGAACTAGCTAGTATTACGTGCCTCTACTTGGGAAGCCACACAAAACAAAGAAGAAAAACCCTGCAAGTAACTCTAAAAACCAAAAGGAGACTGGATGAATGTGACAGTCATAAGAGAAAATTCAGGGGAAGGAGGGACAAACTAGCTATACACTGCACAATAAATTAAACAAGACATACTGTGAGAAAAAAAAAGTTTATTTTTGTCATTTTTCACAACCTATGCTTTTCATGGCAGGAGGGTTGTGGATTCTACACCTACCCAATCCTATGTGGCATGACAGGAGGAAAAAAACCCAAATTACTAAAAATCTAGCTTGTTTTAGCAGCTACTCTGGTAAAGCACAACATGTTGTGTTCTTAGCTGTTCTGCAATAGAGGAGGAAATGCCGAAGGACAAACGAGCTCTGAACATCCAGCCCTGACTCAGGATGGCAAACTGAAGGATATTCTTAAAAAGGAAAGTTTTTTTAAAAAAAAAACAAAACCAAAAAAAAACAACCCAAACCACAAAACCTCACAAATCCTCTAAGTGTCACATCATCGTCCCTCCTGAAGAACTGGCCTCTCAACTTCACGGCCGCTCCCTGCTTATAAAGTTAGTTTAGACCTTCACGTTTTAAGGCAGGACTCCAGCCACGCTTTAGAAGCTCTTAGTGATGGAAAACTCATCTTGAAGACAGCTGAGCAAGACACTGAAACTTTTCTTTTAAATTATTTTCATGTCCTTTTATATCTTCTTCTGTCTAATTCTCTTGCACCTCCTGAGCTTCACTGCTACGGAACGGGCTCAGACCACCACGAGATCCTGCAAAGTGACTCTGTCAGGATTCAGGAATCTCCTCCTCCTGTCCTTTTCAATCTCTCCTTTCACCAGAGGGCAGGGAAAACAAAAAGTACAAAGTGTATCAGAGTTCATTTTTGTAAGCACAGATCAGCTAATACTGGATAAAAATGGTTTTTTGGAGGTTTCTCTCAGCACAAACACAGTACGCTGGCTGATCATTTTTTAAAGATGGGCACAGAGGGATGTCAGACTTTAGGCAAGAAGCAAGTTTCTCAAAACTGTTACCAGTAGAAACGCTATGTCAGGCTTTTAAATGGATGTTAGACTCCAAGTGCTTTGAAAATCCAACTGCTTCAAAATCTCTAGGTGTACAAACCACAATCCCCGCAGATCAGATAAACAAAACAGTTTAAAAATATGCATGAACTACGAAAAAAAATAAAAATCACTTTGCTGTATAATTTTTCTGATGTATTCTCTCAGCATTCGAAATTTTAGCGTAAAGTTCTTTAAAAATTACTGTAACACTTCACTGTGCATAAACCACAATGCCAAGTGGAGCTGAAATACACTCTGCTAGAAATATCTCAGAAAACTAGAGAATATTTGTAAAACAGAGAGATCATTTTCAGAATAGAAAGATTTCTCTGTCGGCATGAAATCCAATCCGCTCCTGGTTTTGACTAAAGTAGCTGCTATAATAAACAAACGAGGACTTGTATACAGAAGCTTGCTCAAAGCGTTTTCTTACAGATTTTTTTTCACCAACGGACCTTAAAAGCCCCATTGAACTTTATTTAAAGTTCTTACCAGTTAACTTCTTCACAGGTTGGAGCCGAACACTGATAGACTGATGTGTGAGTAAGGGGGAGGATGGAAGGGAGCGGGACATGCCCTCCATAATCCGAATGTGCTGCATACCTTCGGTCACTGGGAGTGGCGGAATAGCGTAGTCTGGTTCAAAAGCACAGTCGTTCTCTGTGGAGGTGCCTGATGGGAATATGAAAATAAAAAGGAAAAGGTTAGACTACAAGGGAGTCTCCTGCTTTTATCATTCGTAGACTGGCTCGGGTGATCCCAGCCACGGAGCCACCTCGCTGCACGGAGCCCTGAGTCCTGCAAGGAGCAGGGATGGCTGCTTTCTGGTGGTCACCTTGCATGGTCCTGACACCTCCCTTGAAGAAATTATATTTCTGAAGCAGCATCTCAGCACACCTCTTTCGCTTATGAACAGCACAATTTCTTTCACTTTTTTAAATTTGCCTTTCAGAGTCCTAGAGTCACCAGTTTTAAATATAATTCAGACAAAGCAATCATCCTTTTACTGATAGTTTTTTTGTGCATTTAGATTGAGGATTTCTAATAAAAAACCTTCCAGTCAAATTAAATTTCAACACAAGGACCTAAAAAAACCCCAAAACACCGAAGCACAAAAGCCTCTGAAAGCAGCCACCAGCTCCAACTCGCCCCTAACAACATCCAGAAGTTCCCAGAGCTGCACGAAGCCTGTATGGGGGTCACATCGCTGGTCCACGTGGAAGACACCAAATAACATGATAACAAATGGAGATAGAACAGTAAAGGCACATACTGCTAACTCTTACAATAAATATTAATGACAAATGAAGGGCAGGTGCTCCAGATCAGCAAGAGTTGGGAGCTGTAAGGTTCCTCCTGTTAGCTGTAGCATGTGGAGACTCTGGTCAAGGACACTTGGGTCTCCACCTCTAGTCAGCAGTAGTGACCTAACAATTCATCTGCAAAATCAACTAAAACCTGTTAATGTTAATATTTCATGACAGATCATGTAAGAAGATTACACTCACGCCACACCTTTAGGAGATGGACTCTAGCTTTTAGTGCCTGCTGATGTTTTTCCTCCATAAAGACATTTATTATTTGATTTCCACTGGACAGCTGTGTGGTTCTCAATGGCTTGCAAGAATATGTTTAAAAGAGAAAATGTAGCCTCTGGTAGAAGGGCAGGTAGACAAAAGTAGGGAGAAAAAAAAAGGATAAATACCTCAAATACGTGATACTCCAGAGGAGACGATGGACTAACTCTATTCCAGATAGCCAAAGGACAGTGTGGACAACCCAACATACTATGTATGAACGGAGGAAAAACCCATCCTGAAATAACTGTCAAAAACCTTGGACAAGTTCCTGAAGTGTACCGAGAGGTAGTATCATTTGTGGCTAAAATCCATCTACTACTGACGGCAGCTTTCAGGAACACCTCTCAGCATTTTTGTATCATTCTCTCCAAGAAGCCAAACCAAACACTAACGCACTTTACACATACACTGTTTTGACAAAATATGACTTTTACTGTCTTGCTCACTGAACGAACACTTGCCACATTTACTGTAGTTTGCTGAACATATATTCAAATTCTAATCCTTACAGAGGTGATTTTCTTTAATTTCGGTATGCTCTAGTAAGTAAGCTGCACTTCGGTATGTTTTATTCATCAGAGACTGTCATTATTGCCACAAACTATGAGCCAGACACTGATGTTTTTCTATTCATTTCATGCTGCTTTAATTAAGTGTGCACACAAATGCTCTAACAGAGTACATCCCTTTAAGGGGGAACAGATCATTGTTGGGGTTTTTTTCTGTATTAAAAGATGCTGTTGCTGACATCATGCCTTATATATATATATATGTGTGTGTGTGTGTATATAAAAAAATATTTGGCTATAGTCAGTGAAAACTAGAATTAGTGCCCCACCACCGTTCCCCCGCAGTTCCTACCACTTGTACATCAGCAATGGCTCAGTCTTGCTTCTCAACCTGAGGCTGTCCAAGGGAGGTGGCCGTGTGCTGCTGTGACCCACCTACCATCACCACTGCTTCCTCACAGACATCAAGTCCATGCTTAGAGTCATCTCCAAAGCGTTTCACCACTCCTCTTCAGCCACACACCCCGGCAGTACTTTGGTGTGCTAAACCCGCGTTCCTCTCTTGGAATTTTGGTGTCCCCAAAAGAGGCGTCTACATCCAAGCAAGCTGTCTAGAAGCGCTTCTAGAAGGCAGGGAGTTTGGGACAGGACCCATCTAATGACACATTTTAGGGTTCTGCTTCAGGAAGAGAAGAACCCCAGGCTGGACACTCCCCTGACTCCATCCATTACCTCTCCGTGGACTACCAAGGGAGGTGAGGGCGACCAGCAGCTCCGCTGCCCCCGCCGCTGGTCAGCCACCCGAGCACCGCCCCGGGGATTCCCACCTGACACACACCCCAGCTACACGCAAGGAGCACAGCTTCAGGGCAGGACACACCGCCATGCCTTGAGGCTCCTTCCACCGGACATATGCAGCACATCGGGCCGACGGGACACAGGAGGTATGTTGTAGACACACGTGCTCTGGAGAGCAAGCCCAGGTCTGGCACACACACAACACACGGGACAGTGCTCAGCAGAGCTCAAAATCCCAAGTTTGATGATCACAGAATCATTCAGGTTGGAAAAGATACTTGGGGTCATCGAGTCCAACCATCAGCCCTACTCTACAAAGTTCTCGTAGAGATCTTGTTCGTAAGTTTTTCCTGCTACACCCAAAAGATGCAGTGCTTCTGGTAGTGCAGTTGGGCATAATTTTTCCAGGAGGACATAATTTGATAGCATGCTGCTAATAAGACAAAAAAAAAAAATAAAATTTACTTCTTCCAGCTGTGCATTGCCAATTGTAATTAGTGGCTCCATGAATAGCTTGCTTGACATAAGCTGACCAAGGACCTCGCTTTTTCCAAGGTTATTGCAAGCTGAACACCTCTGCTGACTCTGCAAACCTATTCATAATCACCTGCGAGTGCCAGGAAAGGCAAATCAGCATCAGTGCCAAAATCAGCCCTGGCACTGGCAGAAAAAAGCTACGATGTTATTTCAAAACACATTTGGTGCCAGACATGAAAAAATGATTTGCCATCATTGATTTTGATTCTTAAAAACAAAGTTCAACTTTCCTCAGGCTACATCTTGGGGTTTGAGGGAACTATAAACACTAGGCATCTTCTGCAACTTAAAATCTGGGAAATACCTAAAAGTCTCTGTGCATTTCACTGGTTATTATGGCGTAAGCTCCCAGTATCTCTGACCAATCTTTATGGGAAACTGAGGGCAACTGGGGCCAGTATCTTACATAGAAATAGAAGTAATGATACCTCTGCAAAGTTTTCAGGAGTATTTTCCCTCTTGAAATTCAAACGCTTTACAACAAACCAAATGAACTCACAAAATATCCACTACATGTACTATTTTCATTCCACAGATCTCAAAATTTTTCTCTCATCCTTGCCAGAGTAAACAAACACACCAACAAGGTAGTTAAAACCGTCAAAAAGAATATTGGGTTTATCAAACCAAACGCCTCAAATCAGGGATCAAACCCTCAAATCAGGGATTGTTCGTGGCTGAACTCTAGCTCTTGACAGTTTGTCTATAAAATATGTTTAAATAAAGTGTTACTGCAAAGTGCATATTTGAACTAATAAACTATTTCTTCAAGTATTCCAAGATAATAAAGCTTTATGAACAGCTGTAATACTTGGACATCACACGTAGCAACATGGAAGTTTAAACACAAGTAAGACAATCACCTCATTTCAGTTGGCTGGTTTATCTAAGCATAATAAAAACCCTTAACCCATCATTATGAAAAATATTTGTTAACATGCAGACAGATAGCAACACAGAACAGGGCAAAGTTCAAGATGGTACATTTACGGAGCAAAGAGACTTCTTCTACACTGCAGAAAGCCTGCGTCAGCAATCACATCCATTGGTACAAATGGAAATACTTAGTGCAGAAGCTTGTTTCTCCAAGAAGTTGGAAGTATTTCTTTACCTGTTTCACCCTTCCTCTCTTGCTGAAACTTCTTGCTGGCTACTGCAAATTCTAGTCATACTCATTGAGGCAAACAGATCTAGGTTGGTCATTCTTTGGCGAGTATTTGGGGGGGGGGAAAAAAAAAAAAAAAAAAAGGCCCACCCATGACCTCTGCCCAAAAGTGGTACTTTTCCACAGCAGCAGAGATGCTGAATAAATAGGCTGAAAAGTAACCTGAGAGAACAGAGTGTCTGAAACAAGCGTCGGGAAACCCAGCAGGCAACTCCCATCAGCAGCTGCACCTGAGCTGCTGTATCTTGTAACACCAGACAAAACCCAGACAAACGAAAGGACATCACGGGGACTGATGGCAGGGCACGCGGGCAAGGCTCAGCCTCCAGAAGTAACACAACAGCAACTTTATCTGAGCTAACAGTGTCTGGAAAAGAGCAACCATTCATTCTGTGTTCTGGACACACAGAAATGCTACTTGCATGAAAGCTGTCATGGGGTATGTGCAGATAGAAATTCCCTTGTTCCCACCTACTTTTTTAACTCTTCTATTTTAAAATAATAAATTTTAAAATAATAATAAAATGATCCTATGTTAACAGAGCACTTTGAGCTGCTGACGTTTCACGGGCCTTCAGGGTTTTAACTCTAAATTCCAATCTCCCTAATTCTGATCGCAGCCTTCAATCACTTGCAATAATTTCACCCGGGCAACACTGGAATACTGCCAAAAAAGAACAATGCTCTGGAGAAAATGTCTCCATAATAAGTCATTAGGACACCATGACAACAACAGACCTGAACCTAAATGAAAGGAAAATTATTGCTGCAATCCCAGAGAGAAAATAAGTCAATGCGCATAGCACCTACTAGAACCACACTTCCAAAAAATGCTTCTCAGTCTCAAGGGCTGTGTGAAAATACCAGCATTTTCACAATCCTCACAAATGAGCAAATGCTTAAAACTTTAAGTAAGCTACTTCAAAGGACATATAAGCCAGCACAGATCTAAGAGCTGCTGCTGTCAGTGACAGAAATCCCTATTAAATGGCTCCAGTGGTGGTTTTAACTACCAAGCCTATTGTGAATGGATGGATACTGAACAAAAGAGTTTGTAGAATCATTAGTTAAATAATATGAAAACTATTTTTACTACTCTCTTCCTAGGACCTTTTGCCCTGTAGGATGAAACAAACCAAAGCAGAAGATGTCAGAGGCGCCGCTCAGACAGCAGGCAGGGACACACAGGTCCCCTCTCCATCACATCACGGGGTTCAGGGAAGGATAACCCCGTTATTGAGAACCTGCTGGGTTCTCCTCTTTTCGGTCGGGGGAAGGCAAGTGGTCACTGAGTGGTCTGTTGATTTGTGCTGGTATGTGCTGAAGACTTCTTACACCACCAGCTCCAAAACCCACCCTTGTGTAAGGCTCCGTCCCTCTGTCTGCAAAATGGAGATGCCAGACACTCTACAGGTACCTGTGCTACACCATGAATGCGTCTAAACTCCTTCAAACTATGCAAAGATACTGTGTTTTGTGAATATCACTAAATTTGTGGATAGTAACGATGGTTACAAAACTCCTTAAGATTACATAAGTTTTATTCAAAACACAAAATGTGTATATAAAAGGTGAACAAATGAGAAACGAGTCACTGAGGCAGAACAACACTAAGGTTTACCTTGCCCAGATCGGCTCTGACGGGAGTCTACACTTGCCTGTCTTCGGTCTGGTGGCTCCTCGTTCCCTCCATCTGCATGAGAACCAAAACAGCAGAAGTAGAACATCATAGTGGACAGGTCAGGCAGATGCAACTTTTCCTTGAGTACCATCACCTATCTTGTAGGAACAGCAGAACAAAAGGTCCCTCTTGCAGACTGAAACTGGGGCAAAACTGCTGACTGAGTCCTTTGCTGTTCCTTCCAGTTCCTCCCCAGCTCAGTGCAAACGAAATCTGTGAGGTCCTCAGGATACAAGCAGGCTTTTAACTTCTCCTACTGACCCCACAGACATTCGAATGACACAGTAACCAAATGGTGCATCTTCAACTAGCTCCTTCACTTTGGACCTTTGTATCAAAATATATTAAAAAATATTAAACATCATGAAGAAAGAGATCCAGAAAAAAAGTTTTTTAAAAAAAGAATATTCTTTGAAATTGTTTCCCTTTAAAATTATTTGTCAGCTAAAAAATGGGATGGCTGGGAAGAACAAAACCACTCTCATTCTATCCTCTTGAAACTGTTTAGGAAAGCAGCTATAGTTAACAAATAACAAATCCATCTGGATAAATGTGGAGTGGGACATTGTGTACAATATTATACAATTAATTACACGCTGCTCTTCATTGATCAACTGACCAGATTAGAAACAATAGATATGCACATCAATATAGATGCTTGAGTACACGGGGTTTAATGCCAGCTGAAAGCAAAAATAAGTCTAGCTATGCAGATTGTGAAAAAGCAAAACCAGGCATTTAAAATGCAGGATGTATTTCAGCAGTTATTATACCTTATGGCAGGGGAAGGAAAAGCTTTTAGAATCTTTAAAAATAGTTTTGAAATAACTGTTAAATAGCTGTTTAAAAACTCAATAGTCGATTTTAGCATTTATACTTTTGGATTATGCTAAAAGCAGCTGCACTCCGATGTGTTTGTATCTATATCTATCCCCAAAATTATTTGTTGGACAGCCCTGTTACACCGTAAAGTAATTCAACTTTATCAACTCATGTTACACGTGAGTTACACCCGTTACAGTGCCTTCAAAGGTAAGTTGTGTATCAGAGCACAAGAGCAGAACTGCTAAGGTGACGGAAAAATTTAAGTCTACCCCCAGCCCCAAAAAGGCAGGACCACAGCCCAGGCCACGGAGAGAGGGTTTTTGTTTCCTCCTCCCTTGGCTAAACTTCCAGCTCCCAGTTTCCCTGAATCAGGCCAGCAAGGCAATTTTCTGTCACCTTCGCATTTCCGCCTGCTCACAGACCAGCTGCACAGAAAGGTCAGTCTCCGAGAGGCAGCCAGAACAACCTAAAAATCCCTGATTTTCTATCAACTGCTCATGCCCCAACAAGCCATCACGACTGCCAGGTGTCAAGGAGGCATTTTCCCTGATCGCTTTTCTATTCCGGCTGCGCGAAGGAGGTGACACTGCAAACAGGACTGCAGTTCCGAGGTGTTCGCTGGAGCCTTTATTAGCCTGGAGACACCCTCTTGGGATTAGTTGCACTGAGCCCTCCTGCAATCCGGCTGGCTTAAAAGAGTATTAATAGATCACTATCTCTGTATTTTAACTTGTAATACACAGTGTTGGTTTTGAACACTGCTTTGCATACAGATACAATCATCGTTACTAAAGGCCCCTGGCTACCAGCCCACATGGACAACCTCTAAGTGATGAACAAAAAACCCCTTTGAGTCCCAAATGAAAATACACAGTGCAAGATAATTACCGGGATTGAAAGTTTCAAAAGGCAAAGGTTACAAACAGAAAATCACAGTGCTAAAATGAGGAGTAAACCCCTGTATTTATCAAAAGCCATACAGTCATCATCAAAAGACAAACTCAGTGGGGTTGTTTGTATCGTTATTGTGAGTGACACTAAATGACACCTTGCCAGGACAGTCCAGATAATCCACCGGTGGGTCCCGGCAAATGTTTCCCCGCTGGTACGGAGCTGGCAAGAGGCTGGACTGGTTTTGATGGAGGTGGGCTCTAACGGAGGACATGGAGCAGGATGAGCCCTCGCAGGAGAGCGCCCAGGCAAAGGTCTGGCTACGTGGCAGAGACAGCACGCTGCCTCCTCCTGCCACGAGAATAACCCGGGAGGTCCCCATGGACAGGGAGATACAACACAGTCAGGTTAAATTACATTTCAAAAAACCCCTCTGAAATAATACTTCAAAATTAATGCAATTTTTGTTTTTAAAACTATGGTAAAATGAAGGAATGTCTGGTGACATGAAACTGGTTTGAAAGTTTTTCTTGAACTCATAGAGTAACTTTTTCCATAGTGCTTTGCAGTAAGATTTAGACAACAGCTTAACTCTCATTTCAGTTAAATACTTTTGAACACCAAAGGCAGCTAATATTTCATTATGTTAATAATAGTTTCACCATCATAAACAGATGTTCCAAATTAACTTTAAAATGCCCTTATTCTAATTCATCTCAAGGATCTACATAATACCCAAAAACTCTTAATATATGCCTGACAGAGATGGAAAAGTTTTGAAAGTTTGGAAAAAAAAACCTGATAAAGGACTTTAAGGACTAAATTGGGCTTAAAAGTTAATAGCATGGTAAGGGATGCCTGACCTCTCCAATCAATGTTGCTGGTGGGATGAATTCTGGAGATGAAGGACCAGACAAAGTATGAACCTATGCTCGCTCTAATTACATTTTACTTTCCATATAACTGTTCTTTTAAAAACACATCTTGCCCTCATATCCTCAGCTTGGTTTTGGTTTATTTAAGCCTCATTCCGACTCCTACAGATCTCCTAAGCTCCTCCCTCCTCACCCAGCCAGGTTTACATTCCCACCTGCATCAGACCTGCTTGATTCAGACAAACTTGATCCAGCACCTACTCCCTGCATTCAGAATATTGGTGAAAAATTAAGCATCATTCTCTTGGAACCTGTAACTGCTCTCAGCAAGAGCCACCATCACCTACTGTTGGACTGGAGATTGAGAACAGGGGAGCATCTCTTGTTTTTATGGCATGAGGTGCCACAGGGAAACCGAAGTACCAAAGCATGAACCTGCATTTTATCACAACTGGCTTGCAGCTCTTCCAAAATTTGGTTCCCCCGTTAACAGGAGCAACAAGGCTTTTCCTTGACACCATTTTTGGTAAGGAGGACAAGCAAGATGCTGTCTGGAGGACAGAAGTCTTTTACCCAATAGATTTACTGGGAATCTAAATCCTACTTGGATTTTTTACAATGGAATAAATCTTACAAGACAAGTGTGTTCTTTATTTTAAAAGGAAAAAAAACCAAAACCTGTTAGCTTTTAGCCCACAATGAATAGAATTGGGTCTCTCAGAAGTCAGCTTCGCTCCTGAAGTGAAGCAGGTATTTTCTAAGTGCAGTAAACTTAGAAAATATGTGATGGGAGCTTAAACAGATACAACACAGAATCACAGAATCATCTCAGAAAAGCCCTTGAGGATCCTCCAGCCCAACCATTAACCTAACACTGACCATTCTCAACTCCACCAGATCCCTAATATCACCAACCACCAGCAGCAGTACTGATAGAATACTTCATGCCTAAGTAAGAATTAATCTATTTAAGATCACTTGGAAGGACAGGATCTCCTGTACAGTCACTTGGATGTAACAAAACCAGTTCTCATGCCTTGGGAACAAGCATTACCCAGGTAGCAGGGCTGAGGGCCTGCAGACCCAGGGCTCCTGCTCTCTAACGCTCTTCAACACTCAACGTCGAGATGCAAAATGCTGACAAGTTGCTGCCAAAGCTATCGGGTTTGAGAAGAACTGCTGCACAGGATTCAGTCTGACACAGGTAGTTTGCAAGTTACACAGTGTATTATCCCAGTAAATTAACTCCCCCAATCAATTTAGGAGGGTGGGAAAGTAATAAAGAGATGTGACGGCGCAGCACGTATCACATCTTCAGTTGGGATGCATCGGTGCTCACCCCGTGCTGCTGCACTCGGAGAACTTGCAGCAAAGGCTGCAGCTTGGGTAAAACACAGCACAATCTAATGGGCATTCTCAAATGGCTTTTACTGAGGAATATTTTGAGAAGAAGCAGCGCTGCTGTAAAGCTGTCCCTCTCACAAGAAGTGCGCGTGCACGCACAGAAAACCCCAGGCTCGCTGTACTAACAGGAGGCAGCCAGGCTAGGGGCTCTTTTGGGAAGCCCTTCACCCTCTACCCTGTGGACCACCAACCCTCCCATCTCCTGTGCCCTGGGTATTCAAAGGAAAAGCAGCAGAAAACACAAATCCTCCCCCAGGCAGATCCTGTCAGGACGGATCCTTCAGGGCAGAGCAGGCACCTTCTCCCTTGCAGGCAGGAATTGTGACATGATGAATACTTGCAGTAAAATATAGAAAAATACAAACAAATCAATGCTGGGCAGTGGTGAAGGCCAGTACCTACAGAATTTAAAATGCATGGTGAAAAGGCAGAGAACTGCAGGAAGATAAGAAACAGCCCGCAGTTAAGAGTTGAACGATTGAACTATTTAATTTTTTCCTCTCTTTGCTACAAATCAAAATTTTGAGCATACTCCGTTCCCCGCAGTGGAGAAGCAAGGTTACTAGGGAACAATACCATACATAATTGAAGAGTTATCTTAATATACATGCAAAAAAAGAGGCAAATTACTGTTGCTAAGGGAACATTAATTCTCAGGTTTTCGAACTTCTGAGTGCTTGAGTTTACAATCTGGATAGCGTTCACCCCTGTGTGCATATCAGGACGGTCGTTCCAACAATACTGTTAGTTATTTTATTTATGCATGATTTTTAGGGAGTTGTTAGCATTTGCTTTAGCAATGCCTATTATTTACAGGCATGACCTACTATTTGGATAATAGTTTGCAGACGGTATCACTCATGGAAGTGCCATCAACTCAGCTGCTGTAATGACTTGTCACATTTATTGACAAAGCCTCAGATGCAGGATCTGAAAGAGGTCACCAGAAGTAAATTGGTTGTGAAATCACTGCTAGAAAACATAGATATCTGAGTTAATTTAAAATAAAGATCAGAA